GTTCTATGGAACGACTACTTTATGGACATCTCTATCCTCACCATTGTATCGAAAAACACTTCTTTCTTGTGGCCATCCCCAATAGACCCGAATCCACGAGTTCTACACGTTCTTTTTAAAATAGATAATCAATTATTAATTATGAATATGATTTTTTCCCATGTCATAATTCAACTCGCATGTTTGTGTACTACTAATATGTCTGCAAAATAAATTTTCTACTATTAAGTTATCAGTAGAATGAAAGTTAATTCTACAAATTCAATTCTTGCACTTTCGGTAAACAACTGAGAGTTGAACTGATCGCTATCAGTTCCTAAGTGGTTCGAAATACAGAAAACTACATCATGTTTCGTTTCCAGTATTTCTCATTCCACAACCTTAACCCTTATTGATGGAAAGCAACTGAAGAAGGAGTAATTGCAAATTCCGTTTGATGCGATGGAATTTAACAGACAGAACGTTAATACATTAAGGCACACACTCTGTGATACATAATATTCACCTCTCATCAAATGAATTCTGCATTCAGGGCTAGCTTATCTATTTATATGATTGGTTACGCAATCCCACTATATTCCAACCTGTGGTAGATTACCACGCTCACATAAGGCTCTCCACTTCCTCACTAATCTCTCTTGCAAGATTCCAATGCATATTGATTTCTATAATGAATGAATCTGATCCCATTTCGATTCGAAATTCTGGGTAATTTACTTGTGTTTCATTAAGCCTTTCAAGAAAAATTTGATTTCGTTACTTTTAGTCTTATTTCTTTGAAAATATTTCACTTTCATATGAAGAACTAATGAGAAGTTTTTACTAGGCACCAATTGTTAATTAATTAATGGAATTCCGATCTTGTCAAAAGCATCAATAATATTTGTTTGAGTTTACAGTTAAATGAATCACACCTCCCCGATCTGGTAAACAATCATGGGTAGTGATCAAAATCCTTATTTTCATGAGATAGACCGCAACCTACTCCGCTTTTAGGCACAGCAGGCTGATGCTGACGTGATGATCTATGGTGATGTATCAGTTCAATTATGAACTGTTTCTTAGATCATATATTTAGGAAAGGTTGCGATGGCCAGAAGGCTATCACTCGATTAGATTCCACCACTCTTGAGTTATTTATATCTGTGACTTCATTTCCTTCTCAATCGTATTATCCGTACTAATCTTTATATATTGTAATCGTTCACCTCAAAAATCAATTTATACCTGTTAGCATCTTCCCTTTGGTCAGAATGCCATTGTTTATTTACTTCCACCTACTGAATTTTTATATTCGCTTCTTCTGTCCCTCCCATTTCAATTTCACTGTAGCACTACTATTATCAAGTCCTTTGTATTTTTTTATAAAACTCAGCGTCTTTATACTCCTAAACTCTGGTATTTGGCACCGTAATCTGCAGCGTGACTTTGTCGGCCTGCCCTGCATCACAATGTGACTAGATGCCTAAATTGAAATGTGTTATCTATATAGCTCAAAGTTATTGATTTTTTGCCGACTTTAACATGGGCTTATCTTTATTTTAAAACTACTGTTCATTTAAGCATCGTTTTAAGTCATTGTGTGCTCTATGAATCAAGCATAAAAGTCTAAAATCTCTCGGCAATTTCATCGACAGATTTGCAACTACTAAATGTGTCTTTTTATGCAAGCCAATGGGAAAGCACTTGCCATGGTAGTGGAGAGGAACATCTTCGATGTAGCTTCTCCTCCTCGTACAAATGCACAATTTTCCATAAGAATTTATGTGCTTCATTCTGCCTTACTTTCTTTATGAGATGTACAATGAAATTCTTTTACCTAACCCACACTCTCATAGCATAATATATATTATCATAAAGATGGGAATGACGTATTTCCCTGTTCATGCATACTGTATTACAGATAGCCCATAATCTTAATCATTCACCTACATCTAGGAACTTAATGTTTGAAAAGAAACATGTCTAAAATACTCGGTTGGTGGTGATTTTTCTACCGATCCTTATGGAACCATAAAATTTCTGTAGGTGCCAAGTGAACATACATTCAATTTTGTGAAAGAAGCCCATAATATTTTCAGGCAACTTCAAAAACACAAACTGATATAATTATCTTACTTACATGACAATAAATAGCAATATCGACAGAACCTCACAGAGTATCTGTCAATGTCTCAGCTGATAAATCTTCATAAATAAAAATCGTAGAGCAATAAGCAAATTTTTATAATGAGGTCCAACTCTAAGAAAATGCCAAAGTCGACAATTTTCATATGGAAATGTAGCAGCAGGTTCGTCACGGATAGATATATCCAACATAATTCTGTAAACGCTGCGAAGGTAATGGAAATTCCTTCCCTGGATTTGCATAAGACTATTTTCACATGCTGAGGTCATAGCAGTTTTGTATTCATCAAGAAAAAGCAAGGCAGGAAGATTGCACCTTTTGATGATAGTGTCTGGACGTCGCCAAGAGGACGGATCCTGCCAATAATCTGCCAATTTTTCTAAACATATTTCATATATCAGTCCATCATAGTGCTCATTAACATTCGCGTTATGATCATTCGTGCAGATATGAAACGAAACATTGAAGGAAAAGAGATGACCAGAAATTACTCCATCAAGCGTTGGCTTATAATCAAATATATTCATTCCAGTTTCATCTTTTAATGATAGCAGCGTATCGGTAAAGAAATTCTCTGCTATAGGCGATAACGCAACAAATATGGAAATATTTTTGGATCTCGGAGATCGAAATACCGGGGAATATTGTGAACATCTTTTCCATTGTTTTTGGTAATACTGAATGGCCTTAACGAGTCTAGAAAATGGAGCCTCTTCCAAGTTTCTGGGGATCAAAATCCGAAGGTAATCGTCAATCCACTCGATTTTATGCAGTAATTCTTGCAATTTGCCAGTGACAGCGCATCGCTTCGTGAATTTGACATTGTTCTCCAATGTAACGCATAAGTTCACAAAATCTACATCGCTAAGGTAGTCAAAAATTTCTCCAAGTATTTCACATGGGAGAACGTTAAAGTTATTCATATTACTAAATATGGCGAACGAACAGCAACGTGATAAAGCCCGGTAAATGAAATCGGAAACCTACTTTGGCACATAATGTGATTTCAAATCACATTTATATTCGCCAATTGAAAGCTCGAAACTGATTAAAATTAAGTCCAACATTTAGATAACTGTGTTTTGTAAAGCTCTAGGTTTAAAAATAAATTTAAATTATTTAAAAGAGACAGTTTAATTTACTTGAGAAATTAATTAAGGCAAATAATCGGAACCGTTTGCTAATCAACGAACACAAAAGCTTAATTAGTAATAAGCGGTCCCATCGTCATCGAAAAAACTGTACAGCCGGGTAAATCTTTGTGGCCGAAAATATCCTATGACAACAGCTGAATGAGACGGAACCTACTATAATTTTACTAACTCTTTCCAAATTTTGGACAAAATATTTGCTCATCTACATATCTAAAGCAGTGAAATTCCCGTACCACTTATAACTTATTTCGAAAAGAAATGAACGAAGATTGCAGTGCTAGAAAGGCCAAACAATTAAAACTGGATTCTAATTGCCAATGACAGGGCGAGTTATTTATAAAATATTTCTTAATTTTAAATGACCAGAAGAAGTAAAATATGATATCTCTAAAGCTATTTGCCTTGTCAAAATTGGGACCAGCACTATATGGTTACCTTGAATTTAACTTTATGTATGTCAATATAATGGCGGCTATTTAGGAGCATTTAGGTGTAGTAATTGGTTAAGCCTCTATATTGCTTACAAAAAAATATTGGGAGTCACCGTTTGTTGTATTAAAGTTGCTCCTCTTTTGCGAGTAGATGGTGCTGAATATAAATGTTGGTATTCTTGGCCACGTTGATTCTGGCAAGACCACCCTTTCGAAAGCTTTGAGCACTGTAGCTAGTACCGCTGCTTTTGATAAAAATCCACAGAGCCAAAAACGTGGAATCACTCTTGATCTAGGATTTTCCTCGTTCAAAGTTAATGAAAATATTCCCTCTCAATTATTACCGTCGGATACAGTCCAAATTACTCTCGTTGATTGTCCTGGCCATGCATCTCTTATTCGCACTATCATCTGTGGTGAGTTCTGCTAACAATCATTATGATTTCACAAAGTAAGATTTGCTGTGGGTACGCTTTCTTTCAGGGGCTCATGTCATTGACTTGATGCTTTTAATCGTCGATGCAAATAAAGGCTTTCAGACACAAACCGCTGAGTGTCTCATTATTGGAGAACTTACCTGCGAAGCTTTAGTCGTTGTACTCAACAAAATTGATTTGTTACCCCCAGAAAAACGCGAAGAGAGAATCGCAAAGGTATGTTGATCTAGAAATCGTGATTTTTATAGTTGTGCATATTCTAAAATATACTCTCCCCTCCTAGATGAAATCGCGTATTGCAAAAACACTAGAAGCTACTAGGTTCAAAAATGCTTCAATCGTTGCTGTTTCAGCTCTTCCAACTGAACAATCAGTAAGTGCTTTTTACCATAATAATTTCAACTCTTTTAATGTTCCCTGAGTTTTTTTTCATCGAAATAATGATGTGTCAGCTCAAATTCTTAATCTTCTGTTTTTTTTATGACTGCCTATAATGAGGTTGATTTTTGTGTGTGATTGACAGGTGGGCATTTGAAAATAAACTTTTATGGAATGTAAATATTTATACACAATGGTTATACGTTCTTAAATTTTCTAACTTAAGCAAGTGACAATTTAAGATAATGTATAACGGAGAACTTTCGTTAAGCAGTCTTTCAAATTCCTCCCATTTGGTCTCGGCTTCATTTTTTGCTGAATTTTAGGGTTGTTAGTACCTGTTAGTTTCTTGTCACCCTCTGTCTGATCTTTCTTATTTAGTTTTGGAGTGCCCGTTGTGTTTCTTCTCTTCTTTTCCTCATCTGATATGAAAAAAAAGTTTATTTGCTTGAAGTTCTCTTTTAATTCGAGATGTTGCGTTTTTATTTTGGCAGTATGGTTTTGGTCTAAATTGAAGCAGACTGGTATCTATGTTTCGTTTTCGTTAAATTTATTTAATCATTTTAATCGAGAAAACTTCTAAAGTTGTCATTAATTGCTTGATTTCGATCAATTTTCTGTTGATTAAAATGAGTTTATGCACAAAAATGGATGACGAAGTTGTGTACACAATGATGAACTTAGACGTTTCCTTTTTGTCAAACGTGCTAATTATCATTATCAGTAAGTCTATCAATCGTGAATGAATATTCACTTGTATTTCTTGATTTCATAGTTCTGTCATGCGAGTTCAGTTTTAAGAAAAATAAGTCCAAACCAGATATACACAAAACAAAATGCTAAATTTAAGAAAACTGGCCTTAACTGTTCAATATCCGATGGTCGTGTGCTTATGAATTCTGCTTTGTTTTTCTTTCAAGCCGTCTGGTGAGGGTATGGAAGATTTAATATCAGCTCTCCTCTCCAGTATTCCTGACCCCCGGCCCAAAAGAAGCCAGTTAGCCAGCCAGTCGTTTCTCTTTGCTGTGGATCACTGCTTCTCAAAGTCTGGCCAGGGCACTGTGCTTACTGGCACTGTTCTCAATGGTTGTATTCGCGTTGGTGAGGTAATTCTTTCATGTTTTGTTTCACTATCTAAATTATGCATTAATGTTGATGGGAAATAATTTGTAATTCAATGATTTAAAAGATAAGTTGGGGTCTCCAATCACTAGTTTAATATATTTTTAATCAGAGCAATTTGATACTTCCCAAGTATATGGAAAGGTAGCCCACTTCAGCAATTTTCTTTGAAATAATTAGCCAGACACGCTGACAAAAAACATGTATTACTTCATTTCTCTTTTGATAATTTTATCGATTACAGTATCGGTTTCACGTTTGTTTGTATTTTGTTAAAATCCGTCCACTGTATTGAGGAATTCGGGATTTCCACTGTTTGTTGTTGATTTGTCCTAATCTCTTATTCCTGTTTGGTCAAATGGGAATCCGTTTTACTTTTCGCTTAAATTATGAAAAATAAGCTAGAAATTCCAATATTTCATGAGTTCGTAGGCGGAAGTGTGTTCCCCACCGAAGTGCTAAACCTGAATCGTGTCTCTTTAAGACCACCATGAGTCGAATTTCATGGGGTTTGGAAGGCGAAAATAGCGTTTACATTGATTTGCATTAGCCAACTTTTTCACTTGAACTTCCGTAATGCCAACTCTTAAAAAAAGTTCTAATTAATCCACTCGATTGATAAAATTGATACTGGGTGGCTAGGCTAGGCGGACTTGATTTATTGTCGAATTTCTTGTTTTTATGCTTATATCACCCATATCTGAACTAACTGCATTATTTTTGGCTTGTTCAATTTGCAGACCATCGAGGTGCCTCAACACAAATTGAAGAAGAAAATCAAGTCCATACAGATGTTTCGCAATCCAGTCGACAAAATTGGTCCGGTAAATCAGGCACATAATTTTATTTGCCTAGTTAACTTGAAACAAAACTCTTACTAGATGTGTAGCTAAACATAATCAGAAATCATTTCATTCGTTAAGTGCCCCTTTTGTCGAGAACCAATAAAGATATCAGATACGTACTAAGGTTTACGGTATTCGTGTTTACAGTGTTTTAAGTTGCATTTATGCAGTTAATTGTACTTCATAGGGTGATCGAGCTGGCATATGCGTGACTCAATTGGATCCAAGTGTAATGGAGCGAGGCTTCTTGGCGTTGCCAGACAGTCTACTCATTTGTCAGACTTGTCTCCTCACGGACGTGAAGCGGATCTACTATTTTAAGGGTTCCGTGAGCAGTAAACAATGTTTTCATGTTTCAATCGGTCAGGATACTCTCCTTGCCCGCATCACTTGTCTGCGGAGAGTGAATAAAACCACGAAGAATGGAGATGAGGAATTTGAATATGAGTATTTAGAGGAAATCAATGATGAAGGTGCTTGTTTGGCAATTTATTACGATTTTTTGTGATTAGTTCTTAGTATTATTATTTGTGTGTATTTGATCCCTAAATCGATTGGTTATCGACCATTACATTCTTTTGTGTCATTATTGTACACGCTTCGCAAACCAGTAGATATTGGTTTGAGTTACGTCTCAAATTGCATCACGTCTCCTAGCTACCTCACTGCCCGTCCATATTACTTCGATCGATGCCATAAGGTAGGAAAGCTTTGAGTGAAGCTACATTAGTCTTTCTTTAAACTCTTTGGCGCTACTACTGAGTAATGAACAAGTAGTCTGCTGAATAATTATAATGATTCCAAAGACGGTTTGGAAGAATGTATTGAATCTGGCAACTGAAGCCCCATTGGTAAAAGAATCGATTTCTGTCACACTCTGTATTAATCAGACTAAACCAGGTACGTTTGGCTATTTCATTCACTTGGTGCGCACCAATGGGAATTGAACTCGATCATCTTTCAGTTTTTTTAGGCTCATCAATGCTATGAGATATGTGTAGTGTGCTAAATTGTCCCCCCCCCTCCCATTGAATCCACTGAGTTTCTGAACTGCTCTTAAATTGCATGAGATTTACTCCATAACATTTGGGATAATTTACCATTTGGACTGATATTGTTCTGTAGTAGCAAATGCAAAGCCAAAAGGTAGGAAATTGTAGTTTCTCTATCTATAAATGCCAATTTATGTGAGGCACAAAATTTTTCAAAGACAATTTTTCCCGCTCTAGTCTTGTACTAGCGTTTATGCAATTTGTGTATCCTCGGCGCTATGGAATCCTTGTTGGCAGTGGCAAGCATTACAGCAACAACATGCCCCCAAAAAATGAGACCATCTTTATGCTAGCAACAATTGTGTGATTTTACACTTCAGTATTTTTAATATTTCACACAACATTTTGTTATTGAACTACAAAGGAGGCCAAAGTTGTAACGAAATGCTGCTGGAATTCGGTGTGTTCTCCACATCGGCAGTAGTAGTCGCTCCATTGGGAAGTTTAGTGATTGGCGCACGTCTTGACACCGATCCAAACTCACCTGCCTGTCGACTTGCCTTCCATGGTCGCGTTGGGCGTACCTTCGCGTCTCCTGAGGAGTATCGATCGCTTCCCGTAAGTGGTAATTCTAAAAATTGGTGAAAAGACAATCTTGCATCTCCATCTCCAAAAATTTGAAAAGCAATGTTCACTCACTTTTAGGACTACTTTTCATTACTTTAAATAGGAGCATTTTATGAAACATCGATAAACGCGTGTGATGGTCTTGACAACTCAGAAGACGTTACTTTCACTCTAATTACTTGAAGTCCTGGTATCCAGTTGATTATCCTTTCCACTCATCGCCTAACTAATCTGTAGGTTCTCTTGATTTGTGTGCGGCGAAATTGTTTTCTCTTTTGTATTCAATAATCCATCAAGTACTCTTTATCCAGCTTGAAGTCGAAATGTGCTCGCACATATGCAATGCCGTTATTTAGTCTCCACTTATTTACTCTCTTAATCTCTCTAGACTAAACTTACTCCCATAGTACTGGAGTACGACAGTGGAAGTACAAACGGTTCGGAGTAACCGCGGAATTAACGGCAGCTAAGTAAACACCTGAATGGAAACACTTTTGCTTGTTTGTAAAAAGTTTGGCCTCCTTGCTTTTACAACATTTAAAAAAATGAGGGAGTAAAAATGGTTCTAATAAATCATTACCTTAGTTGAGCCTAACATCAGTACTGGCAAATTAGAACAGAATGACGACAATCCCAGAGATTAGCTAGGTCATGTTGGCTTGCACGCCGTCTTCATTGAACTTTTGTCGTTTTTCATAGGTCTACAGGCATAAGGCTCGGCGCGGAGAAGTTGAACGAGTGGTGGATGCACGAACCTGCATCGTGCGTGGTCTCTTCAAACGCGAAACCAACTGGGACATCTTCACCGGCCTCTCTGTCACACTTTCCAATGACTCTCCTGTATGTGGTGGTGCTGATCCTCTTTCTATCCGTGGCATAGTGGAAGGCAGCTTTGGTCAGAGTGGAAAGTGCCGTGTTCGCTTGAATGGTAAGTCTGATTTGGGCTTCTGTATAAGTTGACGAGGTTGATCGATTGCGCTCATTGCAAATCTGAAAAATTTAGAATACTCATCCAAAGTCATTGAATGTCCTGTGCTTTCGCTGTAGCATTTAGATTATAGTCCTTTGGGGTGTGCGCAGCTCAATCCAAGTGTCAAAGTAATAATATGAGTAGTGGCGTATATTATATTGTGCTCGTCTTATTTATCACAAATACTTACTTGCGCGGGAATTTATTTATATCAAATGGCAGGCGTTTTGACGGTTATCATTAGCCCTTTAGTTGACTTCAGGCTTCACAGAGGGGAAGGAGCATCCAAGTGAAAAAAGTCGAGAGGGGGGGAACTGAAGAGTGTTTCAAAGACGAAAGTAGAAAAGATAGAAAAAAGGTGATGTGAGTACTGTGGAAGTAATCGAACATGACATATAGTGAGGTGTGATGGTTGTTTGAAGTCAGAAGTCACCTGCCGATAAATAGACTTTTTTGCCGTATGAGTATACGTTGCCCAGGGTGCACCACGTGGAGGTAAGTCTATTGCGCACCCCTTTACGCGGGAATTTATTGGTGGTTTACCTCAACTATCTTA